GGGGGGTGATGTGTGTGTAGTGTATGTGCTTGTACACTTGAGTATATATGTGTGTATATGTGAGTATAGATGTCGATACACATTGGCCTGATCTATATATAGTTGTCTGTCTTTCAACTTCTCTATCAGCTCATTTGTCTGCCCATCCATCCATCCATTCATCCATCCATCCATCCACCCATCCATCACTATCTTGCTTCTTTGCAGTCTATCAGGCATAGTTGACTTTTATGAAATTCACACATATCCCCTCATCAACACAAAAGTCATGTGTGAGAGAGACAAGGATTAGGCTAGACATACTTCCTCCTAGATGACTGGGAAGCTACTCTTGGATCACGTACTTTCCGTCTCCATGATGTTCTGAGCCTGAAGAGCATCTCTGTGGAAGTTCATGTACTGGAATGAGGTAGCGTCAGTGAATGTTCAGCCTTAGCCTTGAACACACACAGGGCTTCTTTTGCCCTGTGGTTTCATCGGCATTGTCTTGGCTGTCTTCTGAAGGTAGTGGTAACCAGACTCAGTCACACCTTTAGACTTCTCAATAGACTCAGTAACTCAAATAGCATTACAACTTGGATGTCTTTAAATTTTGAAAATTCAAAGGATCTTTGAGGCAACATTTTCAAGTCTTTTGTCTTAAATGTAGAGAAGATAAAGTTCAGTTATGAGGGAAGAAATTCAGCCTCGTCTCCTGAGTGAACTTAGTCTGGGTTGGGAGAAATGAGTAAACATAAAGGGTCCACGTGGGATTGGAAATCGTAATGAAGTTACGGGAAGTAATGACATCTACAACAGAGGTAGGACAGTTCAGGGGTCTAGTAGAGCTGTAGCATGGCACTTGAATCATGGCTGAAAGGTTGGACAAGAGTCAAAAAACCAAGGAAGTGTGATGGTGGGAGACAGGAACCTTCCAACAAAAGGGTTCCAGAGGTTGTGACACCTGAACAATGTTAACCGAGATTTTTGACAGGGTACAGACCACTGTCCCAACAGCAGAACCAAGCTTGCTTCTGCTGGCTGCTGACATAGGGCTGTTTAAATTCTCAGAACGACAAATCAGACATTGTCCTTTCTTGGTACCCTCTGGTCTACTCACTATTACTTCATCTTTTCTGGCACAGGATGTCATCAATTGCATTACTCACACAAAGCAAGGTGGCTATTCTCTGAGCTGCCCCAGTTTCGGACACAGACACTGTGGATTCACGAGACTGGAACACAATGAAACTCGGGCAAAAATCTATGTTTGCTGTTAAACTTAGGTATGTCCCCTAAACTCACACGAGGCGAATGATTGTTTAGCATTGAACAAGATGCTATTGTTACAAAAGGCGAGAAGGCCTTAGGGGATGCATAATATTTAGAAATGTATGAAAGTCTTTTCCCCCGTGTTAGATACACAGAGAATTCTGGAACTGTGGCCTGAGCTGGTCTAGCGTGACATAGATCTTGAGGGAATATACCACTACCCTCTGGATAGATTCATTCCTGTGCCTACATGTCTATGATACTGAAATTGAGCTCTTCCTACTCAAGCATGGCCATTAATTTTGGGACAGTCGGTGTTAAAAGAAGATCCTTTCTTTGCTGATAAACATTTTTCCCAGAGATGGGCAGGGGTAGGACCCTGCATCTGAGCCACGGTGCCAGAGGATGGGATAGGATGTTGGTTTGTGTTTAATTCTTTCATTTATAGCTCATGTCTATCCCATAATCTCTTTGCCTTTTTAAAAAAAGAACCACAGACTGTTGGAGGCAGAAGAAGTCTTAGAAAATGATGTGATGTGACCTTTTCATTCTCCAAATGAGAAAGCAATCCCGGGAGAATTATGTGCAGCCTGCCTAAAGGCACACATCAGCCTAGTACCTGAGAATCTAAATAGTGTCATAACTGTTTACTGCGTGAGCCACTTTCTTTAATGAGTAGAAAACTATCATTCTGAAGATTCACATCTAGGAATATGGGTACAGAATACAGTAGGAAGAATATAGGTTCACTCCTTCATGTTTCAGAAACAAATTCTCTCATCTAATTTGAAGCCAGAGAAAAGGGAAAAAATGTTGATGTCCACAAGCTGGGAAAATGAACCTCTAAATGTAAGATATAGGGAAAACCAAGTGATTTCCCCAGAAACCCACATGTGTCTTAATCACGCCTTATACTGCTCTAACTTATGAGTTCTGTTTACTTTTCCATCCTTCAGTCCCTACCTGATTTAAAATTGGTTTCAAGGTGTATATGTGTGTGTATATGTACAATGTATATGAAATATAAGTCATATTTATATTTAGCTTCATATTTCAGTCAAAGAGCAGTGCGCCACAAGGAAATACTGACCTTCACAGCTGTCTGTCTGTCTCAGACTGCTAAGCAGGGAGCACTCACAGTACCCTCAGCACAAGCTGGTACAGCGAAAAACTTCAAAATAAAGTAAAGGGGCAGCAATGAGGTAGCAGATGCGGAAGAGTCCCCCTACAATGTGACCCTCTGACCCTAGGTCACTTCCTGTGCACAAAGTGTGGCTTCTTCTCAAGACCCAGTGGAGGCAGATTCTCCCATGAGTGATAACTCTATTGATATCCCTAGAAAGTTTTAGCACTTTCTTAGAAACACGGGTGAGCAAGCCTAGAGAGAATTATGTACCAGGTAAAGAAAGTAAAAGAGTTGTGGTTTTGCTGTTTCATTCGTGGCAGTTTCCCCCTGCCCAAAGGGAGGCCAAACTGATTTTACTTGTGAGATACATCCTGAGTACACGTGTGCAGGTTACACATGAAGCTATTTTACATGCTTACAAACTTTTGCATTCTAATTCCCCACTTAAAGTCATCCTCCGTGCCCCCTTCTGATTTTATGCCTTTCCTCCATGCTAAGTATTTCTTTGAACTCAAAATGGGTGAAAACAGGAGGGATGCTGCCCCATACCAGTCACCTTGGATACTCACTCTGAGCCCCATGAGGTAGTAGAGGATGCTGATGAGGGTCATCGGGAGGACGTAGAAGAGGAATGAGGTGGCTTGGATGATGGAGTTGTACACCCACATGGGCTTGGTGACTGTGCAGGTGGCAGAGCCGGGCACGGAGGACCCATTGGGAAAGTACTGGAACTCGATGCCATGGATGCTGGTGTTGGGCAAAGAAAAGACCACCGAGAAGCCCCAGACGAGGCTGAGGATCCTGAGGGCCCGCCGCCGCGTGCACTCCAGCTTGGCTCGGAACGGGTGGACGATGGCCACATAGCGTTCTATGCTAACTGTGGTGACGCTAAGAATGGAGGCAAAGCACACAGTCTCGAAGAGGGCGGTCTTGAAGTAGCAGCCCACCGGCCCGAACAGGAAGGGGTAATTGTGCCACATCTCATAGACCTCCAGAGGCATCCCAAATAGCAGGACTAGCAGGTCTGAGATAGCAAGGCTGAAGAGGTAGTAGTTGGTGGGTGTCTTCAAGGTCTGATGTCGGAGGATCACCAGGCACACCAGAAGATTGCCCATCACCCCCACCACGAAGATCAGCGCATAGACCACAGACACCGGGAGGGAGAGGTGGCTGCGCCGGGGTCCACAGACATGAGCCAGGTACTCCTCTGTGCTGTTCAGGTACTTCAGGAGAGGATCGTGGATCCAGGAAGCATTTTCAAGTTTTCCCATCGCTGAGGTTAAAACTCAAGGCCACAGGTGTCCCCTGATCTGAGGCTCCGTCCCAAGCTGAGCCAGAAAGAGGACACTCCTGAAAGCAGAGGCTCTTGAAGAAGACCCGGTGAGAGTGAGAGGAGAGAGCATCAGCCTCCAGAGCGCTCCTCTCACACTGCTAATTCCTTCTGAGGACCACCCAAGCCCCGCCCCCGGCAGGCTGCAGGCCAATGAGTGTGTTAAGCTGCACCGTGGGAGAGCCAAGCAGGTTGGCGTGAGGCTTTGTGTGTGGGGAGTCTGAGAGGAGGGACCTCCCTGTGGCTTGTAAGCAGCCAGAGAATATGCTCACACAGAATGAGCTGGGGCCACCGGAGGAGCAAAGGCTCCCAGCAGGGCCAGTCTCAGAGTTGAGGGACTCAGGGAAGAAACCCAGGAAGGCCTGGGGAACCTGACAGCTAAGCCAGGGTCTCCATCTCTCTCTCAATCGATTTCTCAGATATTACTCCTTCGGACAACCATCTGGGAAAAGCCTGAGATGTGGTTTGGAGGATCACAATGATTGAAAATCAGCTTTCAGGGTTTGTCCTTTCCTAAAAATCTCTCCGAACAGTTCAGAAAACAAGTGGGTTTCAGGACCAGGTCATCAGAAATTAGGAAAACTGAACTTTCAGACTCCTCTCCCCCGCCACCCTGCCTCTTTCCTCTTTCCTGTCTGTCCTTCCTTCTCTCTCTCCCTCCGTCTGCCTGTCCCCATCTCACTGTCTTTCTCTCTCTCCTCTCTCTTCTCTCTCTCCTCTTTCTCTTTCTCTTTCTCTTTCCTTTCCTTTCCTCCCTCCCTCCCTCTCTCCCTCCCTCCTTCCCTCCCTCCCTCCCTCCCTCCCTCTCTCCCTCTCTCTCTCTCCTATGCTATTCATTTTGTTCTGTTTAGCAAACCCTTTCCTGGTTTGCTGCATGCCCTGTGCTCTCCCAGGTTTTGTGGAAACACAAGTGTGTTAGGTGCTCTTCCACTGTTTTTCACAGAATGCCCAGCTGAAGCAACTTAAAGGAAGGACTTGTAGGGATGGGGAGATGGCTCCAGACTAAAGATGCTTTTCACCAAGTCTGATGACCAGAGCTCAATCCTTGGGACTCACAGGGCAGGTAAAGAACCAATTCTCACAAGTTATCCTCCAACACACACACACACACACTCCAAAGAAGCAAATAAATAAATGTAACCTTTAAAAAGTAAAAAAGGAAGGACTTAGTTTCACTCACAGTTTAAGAAAGTCTACAACAGTCTGCTATGGTGGGGAAGGCATGGCCATAGGTACGTGAAGCAGCTAGTCCATCGAAACCACATGTAGCCACAGTCAGAAAGGGTCCCTAACAGACATGGCCAGAGATGGGTCTCCTGGCTAATTCTGAACTCAACCAAGTTGATAGTGAAGATGAACCCCCACAGTCAGTGAGTATCTCTGCTCCCTAGAGCTTTTCTTACTATTAGGGCTTCTGAAAATGTAACCGTAAATTAGTAAATACATGTTTCCAGATGAACGTTGATAAATACTTTGCCAAGGAAGTCAAAGAAGACTTATTTTAGCACATGTCTTTGTGACCAAGATCTGAAAGGCTAAAGAAAGGCTATCCCCAGGAAAAGGCATATCAAGGACAAACAAAGGTCCCGAGGCAGAAACAAGCTTCAGAATGTGCAACTGGCAAGGGATGAAAAGAGGGTGGGTCCCTAGAGTAGAGCTTTGCAGCAGCTCCCTGAGATGAAGCCTCCTGTCTCCAAGACTAAACCTCCCATGGATGGAAGCTCCTTAGGATGCAGGATATTCTTTTTCTTTTTTCTATTGTTTTTTTTGAGACAGGGTTTCTCTGTAGCTTTGGAGCCTGTCCTGGAACTAGCTCTTGTAGACCAGGCTGGCCTCAAACTCCACAGAAATCTGCCTGCCTCTGCCTCCCGAGTGCTGAGATTAAAGGCATGCACCACCACCTGGCAGGGTGCAGGATATTCTAAGGGGAAGTAAAGCATTCCAAGGGAGCTCATTAAACTCAGGAAATAAACAACAGGAAAGTTTCAGGAAGTCCCTAAAACCGACCAGATTTATGCACTCCAAGAGTACATAAGCAGTTATGGCTGTTGAGAGACACTCTTAGATGAGCTGAGCTGCCTGGAACAGGCTCAGACCAGCTCTTGAGTCACCTGGAAGGGACACACTCCAACCCTTTGGGCTGTCTACAGTGTTCTCCAGATTTTCAGTTTTTGTGAATATCACTAATGCTGGGGTGGACTTTGGAGATGCAGCTGTCTTTGAGTCATTTTTGCTCCTGTAAGTAACCCCAATGAAATTTATTGGTCCACCAAGTTGAACTCTGGTGGTGTCCATACTTTGCTCTGTGGTTGGTTCCCTATCTGGTACAAGCGGAATTTTGTTCATGTCTCCTTAGGAACTGTACCACATTGTAAATAGACTCTAATTATCTGATTATTGGGACATGTGAGCATGGAGGCTGTGATAATTTGGCTCTTACTGACACCCAATAGACTTTGGATCTGATTTCATACTTGCTGAAAGAATACTTAGGAGGGTTTTGAGCAGCAGAATCCAGGAGAGTGAGGCTAGGAAGGGACTAGAGCGGTTGCCATGACAACAGCAGTGAGGTAAGAGTTATGTTGAGATTTAGAGATGATTTTGCAATAGTGACACCTGGCTCAGCTTGTAAGATTGAAGGAGATAAGTGCTAGGAGATGAGCCAATGGCTAAGAGTCCTAGCTGCCCTCCCAGAGGACCAAAGTCCAGTGCCCATCACCAACATAGTATAAAATGATAAAGATTTATTCCCACACTGTCTGTTGGCAAGCATTGGTGAAGAGGGCCTCCCCTGTGCTGTGATTACTCTTCGGCCCAGAGTAAAATGGTTGTCACCATCTGAAATCTTGCTGATTAGTGTGGGAGAGGGAAGGACAGCTCCTAGCCATCCCCAGCACTGGGGAGCAAGAGCTGGAGCATGCTTTGAGAGCTGGGGAACAGTTGAGCTGGTTAGGTGTTCGCCTTGCAAGTGTGAGGGTGTTCAGTCACTAGGACTCAAAAGCTGAACACGGCCTAGGGAGATGGCCCAGTGCATAAGGCATATGCCTCACAAAGCTTTCCTGAATGAATGTAAAACTTTACACCATAGCCTGAATTTGTGACTTCAGTGTTCCTAAAAAAGGTGGAAACAACAGACTCCCCTGAAGCTATTGGACCAGAGAGCCTGGCATGAGTCTGGCTTACAGCAAAGAGACCCTGCTACAATGTGGAAGGCAAGAACTAACATCTAAGCTTGTCCTGTGACCTCCCTATGGGTACCATTACTTGTGCTTACTGGGTACACAGGCACACATAAATACACATCATGATTTTTAGAGAATCTGGGTATAGTGGCCCATGCATATACTCCTAGAACTAGGGAGGCAGAGGCAGGCAGATCCCTGGGGGCTCACTGGCCAGGCAGCCCAGCAGGAAATTTCTTTCTTTATTCTGTATGTCGTGTGTTTTGATTATTATATGGCAAGGGGACTTTTTTTTGGTACACTCTACTTGGTGTTCTTTAAGCTTTTTGCATCCTTTTTAGGTTGGGAAATTTTTCTTCTATGATTTTGCTGAATATATTTCCATGGCTTTGAGCTGGAGTTCTCTTTCTTCTATTCCTATTATTCTTAGGTTTGGTCTTTTCATGGTGTCCCAGATTTACTGAATGTTTTGTGAAAAGGATTTGTTGGATTTAATGTTTTCTTTGACCAATGAATTTATTTTCTCTATAGTATCTTCAATGCCTTAGATTCTCTTTTCCATCTCTTGTATTCTGTTGGTTATGTTTGCCTTTGTCGTTCCCGTTCATTTACCCAGATTTTCCATTTCCAGAATTCCCTTGGTTTGTGTTTTCTTTATTGCTTCCATTTCAGTCTTCAAGTCTTGAACTCTTTGAACTCTTTGCTTCATCTGTTTGATTATTTTTTCTTGGTTTTCTTGTTTTTTTTTTAAGAGATTTGTTGATTTCTTCCAATTTTTGTTTGTCTTTTCCTCCATTTCTTTAAGGGAATTTTTCATTTCCTCTTTAAAGGTCTCCATCATCCTCATAAAGTTATGTTAAAATCGTTTTCTTCTTCTGGGTTAGAATGATCAAGTCTTCCTGTTGTATGACCACTGGGTTCTAGTGCTACCATGTTGCTTTTTAGGTTGTTGAATGAATTCTTGCATTGACACCTGCCCATCTCTTCCTTCAGTTGGTGCCAGCAGTGTCTTTAACCCTTGGCCCAATCCTTGCAGTGGCTGTCTATGTCTTTGGAAACTGTTCTTCGTCTGCTCTGTATTGTCTCTGTCTGTGTCTCAGGGAGCCACTGAGGTCTCTCTTGACTGGCTCTCTTGGTCCATTCTCTTGGTCTTCTCTCTTGGTGTGATCACTCTCTTGGTTCACTGTGTACAGTGCTTCAGAGTTCCTCTCTTGGTCCTCTCTGTGTAGTTGCAGCCTGTGCTTTGGAGTTCCTTTGGGGTCACAAGGAGGCAGGGGGTGGGGGGCAGGTAGGAGGGTTTGGAGGTGGAGTGGGACTTGTAGCTTATAGGGTCTGATCGATGTGGGTGGTATTGAGCAGCTTACCTCTTGGGTCTCTCTGTGTTTCAGAGTTCCTCTGAGGTCATGGGGAATAGGAGGGTTTGGGTGCTGAATGTGACTACCTGCAGGAAGCTTGCCTGCTGTCTGGTTAGAAAAGCTGAGGCAGGTGGGGGAGGGGCCCAGGGTTTTGCCTCACTGTGGAGGGCCTACAGAGTGGAGTGCCCTACTGGGTGGGTGGTCACTCACCTCTTGAACCTCTCTATGTAGCTGCAGCCTGTGTTTCAGAGTTCCTCTGAGGTCACAGGGGATAAGAGGGTTTGGGGGTAAAGTGGGACTTATAACTTACAGGGTCCGATTGATGGAATGGGGTGTTGGTGCAGCCTACCTGCAAGAAGCACGCCTGCTGACTGGCTAGAGAAACTGAGGCAGGTGGGGGAGGG